GAGTGGAAGTCAAACTGTGGGGCGAGTAGCTGACATTGAGAACGTTATTCAGAACATTGGATGTGGCTATAGAAAAGATCAATGATGTTAAGATGCAATGCAACAGTTCATTTGGCAGATAAGGTAGAAAAATATGTCTCATAATGTAACAGGTTCTTGATGAACAATAAAAACAAAATAGTATATAGCTTCCACTTCACCATATATTTAAAGTGCCTTGTTTTGTTACTTGATGTTTGCATTGACAGTAGACAGAGAAACAGAATGATTATAATTCCATGAAGTGCCTTCCTAAGAAAGTAGTATTTTGTGAAATATACTGTATATAAATATTATATTCGTTTTTTTTGCTGAGAATTAGATGAGATGATTAATACCTTGCTCATTCCTGTATGCTAAACATGTAGCATTTGCTAGCAGCTTGTTAGCTTAGCTGTACTTTAACTGAAGAATGAAGAGTGCAAACAGGATAACAAAACTAGGTATTTTTATCAAACATTTAAGATATAACATGTTAATGTGTGAGCTTTAATGTTACAAGTAGGTATATTCTACACCTTTGGGCAGAGGTTAGTGGTTTTCCCCTGTTGCAGTCTTTATGCTAAGCTAAGCTAACTGGCTTCTGACTGTTGATTAATTTAATACTGAGAGATTTGTGTGGTATTTTTTAAAATAATAAAATATTTATTTAAGACAAACCATCTAAGCTATAGGCTCCCCTATAAGCACTTACAAGTATGCTTGGGAGGTTTTTTAGTAGCCATTAGACCTACATTGTTCTGGTTTTCTGGCGTGTGTATTTATTAGAATTGCTCCCTTCAAAAAAGTGTGTAGCCTATCTGGTAAACAAAAAACTCTCTGGGATCTTTTCATATTGGCCTTTAGATTAATCAGTTAAAAAAAACAAATATCAAGATTTTGGGTAATACATTATTAAACTTGTAGTAAATGTGAGTTTTCTTTATACACGAGGAAGGACTCAACCTCTCGTCCTGACCTGAGAAGCCCTCAGTGACCCCACGCTGCTGCTGCTTCTTTGCCACAATAATTGTTGTGTTTGCATGGGGGTAATTTGCCATTCAAATCACACCTATCCACAACAGCAGCAGCATCCGGAGCTGGTGAGGGAAGAAAAGGATATGATTCAGGAGCTGAGAGATTGTGAATACAGAGATGTGTCTCTTCTCCCTTTTTTCATGGAGGGTGGCTGGGAAGGTTGAACCCTTTAGGGTGTTTTTGAACATGCAGCAGCTGCTACTCTACACATTTCATAAATGTTTTAACTTTTTCCTACTCTTTCTACCCTTTTGCACACTTTTTATTTTATCTACGTGATTGTTTTATACATGCTAAACAAATAATGTGTACAGATATATTCACTTACAAAAATCAGTGAGTTCATTTAATCTGGCAAATAGTTATAACCTCCTTTACATATGCAATAGAATATGTGCTGTGTGGAACAGCGGCACACACACTGTTATTCTGATGGCATTGCAGAGAGACAATCATCCATAAAAGTCAGAGTAAGGACCTAGGATGAGGACCCCAAATACAGTATGCATAATGACAGGAGTTAAAAAAAAAGTATACCTGTATTCATCCTTTGTGTAGTCTGTAAATGAGGTACCATTTCATCACTTGTTCATGTGAATGAGCTCCAGACTGAGCTGCGAGGCAGTGGGATTAAAGAATTGATAGTGCACATGCTCTACAGGACATAGGCCCTTGGATGTTGAAGGCTGGTACATTTTATAACCAGAGGTCCAACTTTTTTGATTATGCGCCTCTGATCCACTTCCTTAGGAATGAACAAGACTCCAATGCTTTATCCAGTTCTCTTATACATCCATGGTGGAGATCCTCAGATGAGGGGCAATATATTCTAATGTGCTAGCATGTGAGATAAGAAAGGGAGCCAATCTGAATGGCATGTTGAGTCCTGTTTCCTTATCTAGACAGCCCCCAAATTCAGGTTGTGAATTGACAGGGACTCCAGATACCTTGGCCCTTTCTCATGTCATCAAATGTCCCATCCTCGACTCCTCGACTCCTCGGTCCTCCGGTAGTGACCCGGAAATGAATTTTAGCGCGCCATGTTGAAGGACATCTCATTTCTCGAAATGCACATCGAGGACCGAGCATCGAGCGTCGAGGAGGCTCTCTGGAGGAGCTATAACCGAGGATACACTGATGGGTCCTCCACAGTCCTCCACGGCTCCTTCGTGGATGCATTTCCGGCAACAGTCAGTGATGTTTCAAGGAGTCGAGACGCACGGCCGGACTTATCTCAGCCAATGACAGCTTTGCATGCATCCCCTGGATATTATTTTATTAACTGCTTTCATCGCGACGCGATGTTTACAGTGAGAACAGCTGTGAGGTCCGTGCAGAAAGCAGAGCAGTGTGTATAATATATATCATATCACTCAGTATAACAGACCTACTCTCTTTATTTGCTTTAGTTTAGTAGATATCTACAAACAAAGTCGATATTTTTCTAAAACCATTTAGTGCTTCACATAATAAAATACACAACGGCTGTAGCCTGATTATATGCTTTAGGAGCTGTAGGTGCGTGTGTGTGGTGTAGGTGTGTGTGGTACAGTGTGTGCGTAGATGCAGCGGACAGACAGGTCTCAGTTGGTTTGGTGTCCTCTGCTTAATTGTAATACTTGTAAATACAACTTTTGGCCCGTCATTTATTTCCTTCATTGTAGCGACCAGAGAGGGGAGGGGGGATATATCCAGTCTCTGATAGTGTTACGTTATTATGAGAGTGCTCTGTTTGATTCTGAAATTGTATATATTTATATAAATATATACATATATGTGTGTGTGTGTCTGTGTGTATGTCCGCATCTGTAGCCTGTTATTGTCTCATTATACCGCACTGTGAATGAATTAAAAGTAAATATATAAGTCGTCATGAACACATCTGTCCATCAGACATAGTGCTGCTGTGCCTCCTGTCATCATTAATGGACGTCTCTTTAACCGCCTGCTGCTTCCCCTCCTCTCTCCTCGGTTCCCCTCCTCGGCTCCTCCGCTCGCATCTCCTGTGGGCGGGACTAAGTCTCGAGGATAGGAGTCGAGGAGGGGAGTCGAGGAGGAACATTTGAAGACATGAGAAAGGGCCCTTATGTGCACAGAAAAGCACCAAGCAAGCACAGAAAGGGTAATTTGTTTTACTATATCAATTGCATTTGTGCGTTTTGTTTTTAAATTGTACTTGAGATTTTATGTTCTTTCTAATCGATATTTAATTGATCACAAAATAACATTGTTATTATGATTTTGGCTGTGTCACGTGCAACACATGGCAGTGACAGGGTGCTGTTCAGCAACAGCAGGTGGCAGCAGAGGCCCATTTCAAAGCCGAGGTACATGTATTTTTATGGTTTGCACTTTATGTGTTTGTGTGTAATGTGTCAATTACTGCATGTAACTGGCCGAGTGTCCCTTCTTGTAAAACTGGATTTCATGCTTAGGGATGCAGAACAAACCTGCACTTTGTTTTTCATTTGTGATTAACCAATGAGAAGCCACAGTTCTCTCCTCTCCTCCTGTCAACAGACGACGAGGACCAATAGGAGCAGAGGATGGGCAGGAGGGAGGAGAAACCCCAGAATCATGCTTAAATAAAGTTTGGTATAGCAGATTGCTGCATGTCTGCGTACTGTACTTTCCCTACAATGTGAAATTAAGCCATATTATAATTGAAGGGCTTTGACATGGCTGATGATTGCATGGTGAAAAAGACAAACATAAAAACACATGTAATGCTTTATTAGTGTCCAAAACGTGTGCCAGTGTGTAATGAGCAACAGGGGGCAGGTATGAGTGAAGCTTTCTCATTTCTCTAATTCCCCTCCTCGACTCCCCTCCTCGACTCCTATCCTCGTGTCTTAGAAGGTTTCTCAATTCTCTAATTTCTCCTCCTCGACTCCTCGAATCCTCGGTCCTCCGGTAGTGACCCGGAAATGGATTTCAGCACGCCATGTTGAAGGACATTTCATTTATCTAAATGCACATCGAGGACCGAGGATCGAGCGTCGAGGAGGCTCTCTGGAGGAGCTATAATCGAGGATACACTGATGGTTCCTCCGCGGAGGTATTTCCGGCAACAGTGATGTTTCAAAGAGTCGTGACGCACGGCCGGACTTATCTCAGCCAATGACAGCTCTGCATGCATCCCCTGGATATTATGTTATTAACTGCTTTCATCACAACGCAATGTTTACAGTGAGAACAGCTGTGAGGTCCGTGCAGAAAGCAGAGCAGTGTGTATAATATATATCACTCAGTATAACAGGCCTACATTACTCTCTTTATTTGTATGCTTTAGTTTAGTAGATATCTACAAACAAAGAGTCGATATTTTTCTAAAACCATTTAGTGCTTCACACAACGGCTGTATCCTGATATATTATATGCTTTAGGAGCTGTAGGTGTGTGTGTGGTACAGTGTGTAGGTGTGTGTTGTACAGTGTGTGTGTTGTACTGTGTGTGTGTGTGTTGTACTGTGTGTGTGTGTGTGTGTGTGTGTGTGTGTGTGTGTGTGTGTGTGTGTGTGTGTGTGTGTGTGTGTGTGTGTGTGTGTGTGTGTGTGTTGTGTGTGTGTGTGTGTAAAAGGCACAATCACCACGAACACGGCTAAAGGGTCAAGTACAGTAACTACAACTAGCTAACGTTGTAGCCTAGCAGAGTGGACAAAGTTGCTGTTAGCTGACAGTGAGGCACGTACCTGTCCATCAAAGTGACCACGCCCTAATTTATGCAAAAACGTTAAGACCTAATATAAATAAAAGGGTTGCGTTATAAAACAATTCACTCAACAATTAATAATCATTAAGGTGGAATCTAACTATATCCCAAATAATTTGTATTGCATCCAGGGGAGAGAGAGAGAGAGAGAGAGAGAGAGAGAGAGAGAGAGAGAGAGAGAGAGAGAGAGAGAGAGAGAGAGAGAGAGAGAGAGAGAGAGAGAGAGAGAGAAACTGGATTAAACTACCAACAGCAGCAGGAGGAGTGTGAACCACACACAACACAACCTGCAACTGTACACACTGTGCCTTGTGCAAAAGAAAGCCCCACGTAAACGTGCTGCTATATGCATTTATACCAAAGAAAGATTAGGTTAGGTTGACTCGCAGTTGTTGTTGACCTCGTCTGACAGAGACAAGCCGAGACGACAGCTGCTGGTGAGTAATTTAAATGCTAATACACATTAAAACGCATTAAATATGAAATATGCGCATTCATTTAGTATGTTATGAGAAGCTTTTCGACATACAATTATTTCGATAATTCCTCTGCAGCGTGCTGACGAACACATCCTCTATGGCTGTTCTGTCACTTCTGTAAACTACCCACCCGCCAATGTAGCGATTATTTATTCATTTAATTTAACATTAAAGTATTTATTACACATGCCTTCTCTTTTTGATAGTCTTTGTAGTCGTTTTTAAGCAGGTGTAAAGCTAGCTTAAACTAGTGCCAGTTTACAGCGTGGCATGCGTTTGTTATTGCTGTCTACGCCCACGAGGAAGTTTATAATCACAGATTTTAAAAACAGCTTGCTAAGCAACATTTGAAAGATTTATGTCGCACGAATATCATAAAGTGAAGCTTAAATTGCAGTACTTAACTGCGCTGAATGTTTATTAAAAAAAGTTTACACTGTACGTCTGAAAAGCTATACTGACTGAGTACGTAGCCAGCTAACTTTTTCCACTTGTGTAACTCTATTATACTGCCTTGACTGTAGTCAAATGTTGCATACATCTTTATGTTTTGATTTAATATTTACCTTAAAACATTGTTAATAGTTTCAAGTACTAATGACATATGTCTACCCTTTACATTGTGTGTTGTGTACACTGTGTATCTGCACTATTTTTACGCCTAAGTGTCTATAATCTGCCTAGGAACAACAACTAATAGGGTATAAAAAGGCTTTTGGCTAACTCGGACACATTAAAATAAACGCATTCCCTTTACAACCAGTAATAAACGTATGCATGTGTATATTTACACTGCATTTATGTATAGAGTATGTCAATAACTGTCTTTCATAAACCTGGATATCATAGATGTATGTGGTGATAGGGTTTTCCTTTACATAGTTTGCCTAATATACAACACTGACAAGTTTATTTTTTCCTAAAATGCCAAGATATGGGATCCTTATCAACATGTTATGTTTATATTATTTGATGTTCTGCCTGTGACGGAAATATTATTTTTGTGTTTATTTATGGTCACAGAAGACTCACAGTTATAAGGCGTGATGTCATCTGATACTATTACATTTTCCATTATTGGAACTATAAAAAACATTTTTTTCCTATTCATTGAAGGTCAATTGTTCCTCCTGCATCCTTACCTTAACACTTCTCTCAGTTTCAGTACAGGTTTAATCAGAAACTCTTTGAAATTGGTTGATTTAATAAAAAAAAATATAGCCTCTCTGTAATACAGTCTTGCAGGAAACATGGTTTTCCTCACGTTTCCCCTGTTCGTGGTGATTCACCGCTGCTCAGTAAATGGGGAAATATGTCCTCCTTTTGGCTGAGGATCAGCACTGAAGGGCAGCGACTGGGGGCTTTTAGATATAGACGCACACTCAGGCTGTGTTGCCTGGCAATTTTTATAACGGTGAGTCAACAGCTTGTGCAGGGACATCACTAAAGCCCAGACAACAACTGAGGCTTAAGTGTGTGTGTGTGCGCACTATGTGTAATCACAAGCTGGCTTCTCTCAAATACCTTGTGGTGACCTCTCGCCCACTAGGCATCAAAAACTGCCCTTTTACTTATCTTCTCCTCTTCTTATTACAAGTGTCCTTTCGACTGTTTCTGATAGTTGAAAGTGACACAATGTACAGAAGACGAAGAAGAAAGCCCCGTGTAAACACTCACTGAGGCAACATGCCCACATTAACAAATGGGAAGTTGCTCAATCTATTACATTAAGCAATGAACTGTCTGTTTTCAGATTTTGCTAATTGAATTCATTCAACACTGATCACAGTTCTGAATCATCTAGACATGCATATTGATTGGAATGTGTTTTACATGTTAAGTATGCTGTTGTAGCCATGCCTCCAGCTCGGAATTAAATATTTCCCATGAGTTTTGCACCTCGGTGTGCAGCTTTGTGTTGGTTTTTACTTGGTACAAAATCATACATAAATTCCCAGCCAATCATAAAAGCATGAAGCCTCTTGCTCCAATACTGAGCTGATTCAGCATTGTGATAATTGTTACAAAGATCCACCATTTAATTGATCGTTGAAACATGCCGATACCTGCAGCATCATCACACACTACTCACAGTAATCTGTTTGTTTTGCAAAGCACTGACTGATTAGTATTTCTTTGGGTCCAAAGTCAATCATTCCTCTTTTAGCTCATCCAACTATTGATTGTTCAATGCACTTACTCTGTGCTGTTATGGGAACATAGTCACCCGATGATATCGTTGTATAAATCTGTGTGTCGTCTGAATAATTATGGTAAGATATTCTTGTTGACGGCACTGGTGAGAGCTTGTTGATGTTGAACAGAAGAGGCCTGAGAATGTCCTTACATGTTAAGACCCTTGGGAATAGGTCCAGTGTGTGCCTCTTATTGTGTGTACGCTCCGTCACATGCCGAGTCAGCCCGTAGTTATCCAGAATACAACGCAGTTATTTAGTGCTGCTGTCCTGGGGGTTGTCAACATGAATGCTAAAATCCCCACAGAGAGAGTTGTTTTTTTGCTAATTATCTCTAGGGTAAATTAATGACACTAAGAAAACACCTAGACACAAATCAGAAAATATTTAAATGTAGGTACAAATCAGTGTTTGTAATGTTTCTAAAATATGCATGGTCCCTTTTTTATCACAAAGTATGCTAACCCCGTATTTCAGTTTTGCGTCTAAAACCACAAAGCAGCCTAAAGCTGGACGAATGACCCGTGTGTGTGTGTGTGTGTGTGTGTGTGTGTGTGTGTGTGTGTGTGTGTGTGTGTGTGTGTGTGTGTGTGTGTGTGTGTGTGTGTGTGTGTGTGTGTGTGTGTGTGTGTGTGTGTGTGTGTGTGTGTGTGTGTGTGTGTGTGTGTGTGTGTGTGTGTGTGTGTGTGTGTGTGTGTGTGTGTGTGTGTGTGTGTGTGTGTGTGTTTTCCATTGGCCTGTATCCCATTGGCCTCAATCCCAGCTGAGACGTGTTGGAGCATGCGTCACACCCACCAAACAGCACTTGTAGTACACACACACACACACACACTTGAGAATTATGCAGATTGCAACAGGGAGGAATGCAGTCAGAGCTCTTTCGTTTAGATAAGCTATGGATAGATGAGAGCAATCTAAATGAACTTTGACACTAGCATTATCCCATAACAATTAGCTATTTATTAAAAGACACACCGGATTGATTCTTGGAAAGATATTTTGATATATGCCTTTTAATAGAAAACAATCTCACAGTCATTTCAGTTGCAGTGAAATTCAATCGGGAGAGGTATGCGTAACGGCAAACCTTGTAAGTGACCCAAACATGTGCACCCACAGTGACTCATGCACAGAAATAGCTGGATCAAACAGCCAACTCTAGAATCTTCTCCCCCTAGGCTCCGGTGACATTTACACATCCAGTCCTGTACCACAGGCAGATAACTACACCGCACACAGGCGTGCACGGCATACTCCTTTATTTTCTTGTATGTGTGTGTTGGGTGCTCACGCAGGGATTGGAGGTCATAAGTATTTTTAGACAAAGTATCAACGTCACCTCTAGATTTGAAAGCTGTGCATGTTTCTGTTTGGAAGCAGACCTTGTGTTAACGGCAGGTTTTATGTTCCTTTCCTCTGCCTTCTAGTGTGTCTGTACGTCTTTGTCTGTGCTCTTCTCATCTTTACTGACAAGTTGTTACACATTTAGATATCTGAACTAATCCCTGTCTTTTTAGTCGGTGAACAGTATGTACCTCTTTGTGCTACCAGCATACTTTGTTTTTAAGGAGATATAGAATAACTAACTATAATGTTTCTTCTTTTTTTCCTGTTTTTTCTGTCTTTGTCTGTAGTCCATCATGGCGGGCGATATGATATTAGTGATGCGCGGCTTGGCTAAATTGAGCCAGGCTGTTGTAGAGACTCAGAGCAGCACCCTGCGCACTGGAGCAGGTAAGTTCAACACACCTGCTTATTTTCTAAATTGAACTTTGTCAAGAAAATAAAAGTTCTGTCATTTAACTGTCTTGTTAGCAGCCATAGTGTTCTGCATTAAAACCCCTAAATAACATACTTGTTAGCTCACATTATGACAAGCTAGCTTGTGATAAGATTTACACATTGGTTGAAAAGTCATGTTAGCAAATATACTAATATGCCTACATGTGTATACATATAAAAGACTGTAAAATAAAGTGTTAAGTATTCAGTTTTTGATAAAGAGTGGTCTGAATCCATCAGGTTGTCTAACCTGCTAACTCCTATACCGTACAAACAGTAGACTGTTAACTTGTGGCTAGTGTTTCACATTGGTTGAAAAGTAATGTAAACAAAAAGACTAAGAAGCGTAAAGAACTGATAAAACACTATTTTCTACATTGTAGCCTGTTTATACAAATAAATGCCCTTTTATTTAAAAAAACATTAGTATTACATTAAATTAGTTTTTGAAAAGGAAGTAGTAACTACCATTAAGTTAGCTAGCTTGCTAATTCAATTACAAAACACTAAATTGTGGCTAGCATTGGTTGAAAGATAATGTAAGCGAAATGCTACCATTCTATTTTTCAGCTTAAAGACGAAATAATAATAATGTTCTATTGTGCATTATACTGTTCCATATGAATGAAAGACTATACCATTTAAAGTCAAATTGATTTTTTTCTTAACGATTAATATGTAGTTTAATGGTAAGCTCTTTAATCTAATAACAGTATATTTGATAATTGTGCCCCAGGTGTTGCTGCTGCTGTCCAGAGTGTCCAATCAGCTGCTGAGCAGAGCCTCTCAGCTGCTATGATGAAAATGCAGGTGTGTGTAGGTGTATGTGTAAATACTACTTTTTACAGTAAATAAGCTGCTGTATTTCAAAAGAAAAGAATACTATGAAATGTGTTTTCATGTTATGCCTTTGTGTTTCTGTCTAGGAGATGACTGGCCAGCAGCAGACCTCTTCAACGGAGTCAGAATTTGACTTTCCTCAGGATGACAGTGCATTCGCAGAGTTCAAGGACGAAGGTGTGGACTTTACAGTGGCTCACCAAGGAATGAGTGAAGACATCGCAGCAGCAGGAGCGAGCCATGTCAGCGGCAAACAGTCGTTGTTCGATGGATACAAAGATCCCAGCAAACAGTTTAGCGGACACACCAGATCTTACCACCAAGACATCAGGTACAAATATTCTCTTTCTCAATTACAATCTACAGTAAACATGTTTTTGGAGGATAAAGGTAATGATTTCTGCTTTGGGTGTGTCAGACATTTCTACAGCCACGGTCTAAACAGGCATGTGTGGGGACAGCTATACTGCCAGCATCAGCTCAGGAGCTACCATCAGGACCCGTCCACAGTTGGAGGGCTGACGGCCGAAGACATCGAGAAAGCAAGACAGGGCAAGAAGGTGGAGATCAAATCACACAAACAGATGGTAACTATTGTTCCTCCGTTCCTAATCTTAAACACACATAGATATTAACGTTAAAATGTACCTTTCCAATCACATTTTAATCAAATATTTACCGGTTTGTCTTCCTTAGTTGAGTGAGAGAGCCAGAGAGAGGAAAGTGCCAGTGTCTCGGCTCAGCAGACTGGCCAACTTTGGAGGTACAGTAAAAACAACCACAACAACTCTTTGTTTATCTAAATATGGGATTTTTGTTTGCTTTTTGTCTGACTGTGTCTGAATGCAAGTCAGCAAGTACAACTTCCTGTCTTTTCTCGTACATTTAAATAACTCCACTCTTTCAGCAAGTCAGTAAAATAATGATTCTAGTTTTATAATCGTCAATAGTCAATATATTATAGGTCTCAGATATATACAAAACATGTCTCTGAAGTGTTTGGCTTGAAATACCAAACAGATCATTGTAGCATCCCATAATCTCCTCTGTTTCAGCCCTGTTTCAAAAGTGCTGATTCTCTGTCTGTTACTTTAGATGAAAATAAGGAGCCACTCCCCACGCCCCTCTGAGAGATATTTGGTTAAAAAGAACACAATGTTGCTCCAGGAGGAAATTCAGGTGATAAGGTGTGGAGGGGGGGGGGGGGGGGGTTACCTTGGTTGGTTATTGGCTAATGGTTACTCTCTCGATATGCCGGTGTCACTGGGTTCAGGGCGGTCGTGTTGTTGTGTCAGCACATGTCCTTCGCAAAGTCAATTGTCAAAACAACACCTCTCTGTGTACATACATAATGTAGGCACATATTTAAATGCCAACAAACACAAAAGGAAATGGGAAAACGTAACAAACAGGAATGTAACTAACATGAGTGTTTATCGAGATTCAGAGCCTGGACGCGCTCTTAAACAAAAACTTAAATTAGGTCAAGTCTATCTAGCCTTTACAAATGGCACATTGAGATAAAACTCCTTGACAATCAGCTACAAACTAAGACAGAGGACAGCAGCAGTTGTACTCAAATCCTTTAGCTGTGACATATTCAAACACAAGAAATTACTGCCAAGTCCAAATGAAAGTATACAAAGGATAAAAGATTTAGTATGGTACCAAATGAAAATATAAAAATGTAACAGTTGCTACTACCAGTTATTTTTGGTTCTATATGTCACCCACGATTGAAAGATGTTGGTTGTGATAATGACATGTGGCCACATTAAGGCAGGTACAGAGTTAATGGTATCCTAATGTCATATCTAGACAGGATGTTATTTCAGCGATAAGCTTATTTAAAGGCCTCAGCACTTGTAAATCAGAAGATTATTGCTTAATTTCAGACTTTTACAGGGGGCATAAAGTTGGTCAAAGAAGCTAAAGCACAGGGTAAACAAACTTGTGAACACAGAACAGAGGGTGTTTCTCAATGTCGAGTACGCTTGCTTGGTAGCACATGTCTTCCGAGTCACTTGCTTCAGAAGCGAGGCAAGAATACTTCCTGGCATTCGGAAAAGGAAGAGTGGAACAGGCGAGCAAGTGTGCAGGTGTGCGTCATATGAGAGGCCCCGCCTTACATTTTCCGCCACAGATTTGGGGAAATTGGTCCGTGCGCAAAGCATTGTGGGGATTTTAAGACCGCAGAGTCTACACATGTGCAGCCTCGAAATTTCTCGCTACGAAGTACGCCGGGCTCGGTAGAATTCCAAGTATGCTTGACATAGGAACAGTCCTTCGGCGGCACTCGATGACGTAGTATGCTTGAAACAGTGGCTCTGGAGCAGCTTTACTCGACATTGAGAAACACCCACAGTCTCGGATGGACAGGACTGCCAACAGAAATGACAGGTAGCAGAATTTAGCCACAGCTCATATCAAACATATGGACCTTGTGGGGGAAACTTCTGAAGCAATGGAGACAGGACTCAGAGAGACACGAGGAGAGCTGGAGCTTTGATGGCAAACACTGACGGTTTATTTGGAGTTTCGGCCGGAGAATTCACAAGACATGTCATAGGGCATGTCATGTCCTGGTCTGACCACACGGATGAGATGCCACAATCAATTCTAAAGAAACCGTCCTCTCGTAGAGGTTTTAACTAGTTTGCTTGAGAGTAATCAACATTCTTCACTAGATAGACTAAACAGCTGGCGCTTATGGCCTCGAAGATTTCACACCTTGGGTTCATCAAGCCCCGAGAAGGAGTTGTTCCATACTGTATGTCCTCATAACAATAAACTATCTTTGACCGAAAGTTGCCCGGTCATAAACTGACAATAACAAATGGCTAAAGCAGCCCCCTCCTTAAGGGAGATAACAGAGGCCAAGGTTGGTCATCTGTGTCAGAGGGCAAAAGGTAAACATCTATGGAAATGATTCCCTGACAGACCTTACATACTGTAGGCTACAATGAGACCATAGCCGTGTTGATTCAGCATGTTGACAGTGGTAACATTTAGAAGGTGTCGGAGAAAGTAAGGGGAGGAGGGGGAGGAAAGTGTCCTCTCTCTGCCCTTCACTTTCCTGTAACTTGTTGACAACGTTTTTCAACTGGTCGTGTTTCATTATCAGGTGCGATGTGAGAAAATAAATGCACACTTCATGTGCAACAAACTAATTTAAAGAATCATAACTCTGTTGCTGTGTTTCATGTCAACAGCGTTTATAGCTACATTGCTTGAAAAGGTCATCAATGTTAACTACTTTAAGTTTTGTATCTTTTTATCATCAAATTAAAGGAACATAAACCATCTTTTAAAGCTTGTAAGAAGTGTGCAGCAGAGTACGATGATGCTGTAACCGGTTACACGAGATGACACACAAAGCTCCACACATTTCCTGGAAAATGTGAATCCTTCTTGTCAAACCTGTCTCCGAAAATGAAGGTGTCGACACGTCTTTGACCGATTAAGAGACGCTCAGCTAAGACACTGAAGCAGGTTGTGTGCTGATATGTCTTTTGAGTGTTGGATCTCAGATTCATCACTTCATAGGACCGCTGACTAACGGATTATGTAACGCTGAGTTATGTAAGGCAGAGACAAGGCAGGGAGGAACTCGCTCACTAACAGTACATGACTCGCTTCCTTTTTCACTTTATTTATGATTAGACGTATTTCTCTTTTCCTCCTGTGATTATGATTGTTCTACAGAATCATAATACTATATGATACAAGTGTTTCTCCCGCATAAAATGTAGTGTTTACCAAATAAACTATTTGATTTAGGCACTCTTTTGTGCACCAGTCACTCCCAAAAATAAATAAAAAGGTTAATCCTGGATCAGATATTTTGAAGGCTTTTGGTCTGTGTTGTTGCAAACGGAGCTGATGTAATGCAATAAAAATTTCCTATTTACAAAATGATATTATCATCTGCTAAAATTACCCTCTGAGGATTAAGTATTTTGAGAGCTTAATTGTGAATATTACTAGATGAGGGATATGATTTACAAGTGCTTTGTTATGTTAGCGGTGCAGCTGTTACTGTTCTCTCTTTGCACACTGCCAAGTTAATCAAGTGCTTATCTGACCATATTGTTTTGTTCCATATGTTCTCTTGATGGGAATAGCATCGTTTCAAGGCAACAGCTGTCATCATGTATTCAAGTCATCTATTCATAGACACTGAGACATAACATAACAGGAATGACTGGTGCTTTTATATCTCTGTGTTGTGTTGTGATAGAGGTGTGTCCTTATGATGGAAAAACTTGTATTTTGTTTGTATATTCCATTTTTATTGTGTTTTTCTAATGTCTGTGTGTTTCCTCCAGGTCTAGCTGTAGGTCTGGGGATTGGAGCACTTGCAGAAGTTGCCAAGAAGGGCATGAGACAGAATACCGAAGGTAAGACAGACAGACAGATATCAACATTTTGTGTCTGAATTCTAAAATGTTCGAGGCTTATAAGCCATTCCTGTCTAGGATATTGAATCATGCACAATGCCAGTTACACTGTTATGCTACTTCTTCCTGAATGCATTGTACTACAGATTTGTGCAGAAGAAATACTTTGATAAAGTAATCATTTGCAACATTTGAGAGTTGAGTTGTGCCTGGAAGGACAGGTAGTTCTGGTTGTGTTTATTATGAGATTTTGCAACTGAGTTCCTGAACAGCACTAGAAAAGCTATCCTCTTTTTTCAGTACCCCTCCCTGATGCATGTTTATACACGCAACACACATTTTGTATGTCAACGGAGCATAATTACACCACCTCCCGCACCAACCTGCCATCAGGACACACATTCCTGCTCTGCGAGCCTGCTAATCCCACAAACAGAGCTAATCTGAAACAGCATACCGCGGAAATCTGTGGCATTTGTGCGTCTGTGTGTGGCTGTTTATATGTGTGTATTTATCTTTGGACAGACTCAAGCGCACTAACTTGCAACCTTCTGACACATATCCTCACAGACACACAATAAACACAGAGATGTTTGTTGTTCGTTTTGAATGTTTGAATGAATTGCTGTTAAGTACATTAAAACGGTATTATGTAGTCTTTCCTGTAGTGTGTTTATATAGGTTTTGGGCATGTAAATGATCTGCAAAGGCTAATATCTAAAAGTTAAAGCCAGAGGGAGTTTCTCTCCCTCACACTCCCCCCCTGCCTGAAACACCTCCATTGGACTCCTTTGTTCACCTCTGGAAGAGGGTGAAATCATTACGTAATAAACTTGCACTTCTGTTGGCTAGCGCTCCAACACATTAAATGCTAAGGGATGGGACATCTCTAAGCGGTTGACCAATCACAACAGAGCCGGCCGGCTAACCGATCAGAGCAGACTGGGTTCTGATTTCAGACAGAGGGTGAAAAGAGGACAGGAAGTATGAGAAAAACAAGCACTTATGAACATTTAAGCCTGTAAACATGTCACAGTAGAGGCACAAAATACAAATAATTACTGATTATAATGAAACCCGCAAGTAAGCCTAATAGTGCCCCTTTAACTAATGATGTTGATTCATCCCAATGACATGAAATAAAATGGTTGTGTACGTTACAGCATGCTCTCTTTTTTTGTGTGTTCTCCAGGTGATAAGAAACGTGTCCTGGACTCCAGCCCCTTCCTGTCCGAGGCCAACGCTGAGCGCATCGTCAGAACCCTGTGTAAAGTCAGAGGAGCTGCGTTGAAAGTGGGACAGATGCTCAGTATTCAAGGTGTGCCATGTTTTCAATTACAGGTAGTTTGACTCGATAAAGATGTAGTGGAAATGTGTTGAGCTGTTGATGGTTTTCCACGTGCCGTTCCACAGTTGTGACGTTCGCCTGTTGCTGTCACTCAAACACACAGGTAGCAGCAGCTGAGAATAACTTGTTGTGTCATTAGATGCTTATGTGTTTTGCACACACTAGCCAGACAAAGTTCAAGAGCGTACCACCAGAGGCAGTACATATCTTGACACAGATTAGGTTACAGCAGTAAACAGATCATCAATTTAGTTTGTCACTGTTGTTGCTGCTGCCTGACCTTGGCTTATGACCATTGGCTTTTACTTTTCAGAATATGTTTGTGTAAACCTAGACATAACACTGTAGTAAATGAAATCAGCCACCAAAACAGTAATAGCTTAGAAAAGGACATTTGCTTTGTTTGCTAAGTAGGTTTAAACACAGTGGATTGACCTTGTTGTGTTCATGTGTGTTGTTATTTAGAGAACTGGCATTGCTTTACTCTGACTCTACAGTGGTGACAAGTGTATTCTTAAATCTAAAATGGACTTAAAGGTCACAGTAGTCTTCCGTAGCTCAGCATACACAGAAATTGAACTGCTCCTACTACATAAAATAAGACATAGAGATAATTTTCTTATAACATTTAATAGAATTGCATTCAATTGAGACCACTAAAACCTGTGGTTGAATAATGACGTTTTTGGTGGTAAAATGCATAGACAGTCAGTATTGTAACTGTATTCCTTTTAGTACATTTATACACCCATATTTAAAGGGACAGCCCAGCCTCAAAACATAAATACATAATTTTCCTTTTTCCTGTAGCACCTTTTTTCTTGATTGTTGTGCAGTGATTTGCTGATAGTTGGAGATATCACCTTCAGAGATGCCTTTAAAAAAATATATATTTACGAATCTCCATGTGAAATGTCACAAGTACAGTAACCTTGTCATGATTTGTGGGAAGAATCAATGCTGATGAATTTTTCATAAGTATTTTCCTGCGCTTTGAGCACCACAAGGCAAACAGGCAGAGATCTCTACGACTCACACCAGAACAATGTTGAACAAGTATTTTAGATTTTGGGTTGAGCTCGCCATTTAAGTCTGCAAACACACCTGGAGTCAAATTAAAGCCATTTGCTTTCACAGCTGTATTTTATGGCACTTCGAAATGTGCCTAATTCAGAATGATTGTAAAATATGCCAGACTTGCCGACTGACCTGCATTTCTGTCCTATTGAGACCAACCTATGTATGTTTCTGTATTTCAGATGATGCATTCATCAACCCTCAACTCGCCAAGATCTTTGACCGTGTCAGACAGAGCGCTGACTTCATGCCAATCAAGCAAATGACGGTAAGGGTGTTTCTTTATTTGAGCTGGCATTTATAACGGGATAATGGGATAATAGCTGAAGCTGATTTTTACATGAGAAATAAAATAAGTATTACAATATTGGTTATACCTATTTTTAATATGGATGTTTTTTTCTCAAGCCTCGTGTAAATCTACTGGTGACAAACTTACATTGAAAACGCCAAATGCATTTAAAACATATGGAAATATAACAATAACTCCTTGCGATTTGTGTCTTTCTGTAGAAAGCACTTAACGGCGACCTTGGTCCTAACTGGCGAGACAAGCTGGAATCGTTTGAGGAGCGTCCGTTCGCTGCGGCGTCGATCGGACAAGTTCACCTGGCCCGGATGAAGGACGGCAGGGAGGTGGCCATGAAAATACAGGTAGGCCGTGCACATGTGTGTGTACCCAGAACATTCTCATGTTGTTAAGATAAACACTGAAACTGGAGAGTGTTTCTCACACCAATCTCTGTGGTCTGCTTACAGACTTTGTTCGGATGTAGGTCAGAGAAGAAAAGTGTCAAAGTGTTTAGCTTCTTAGAGAAATCTGACAAGTTATTTTGTCCCTTCACAGTATTTACAAGCTGTCTTAATCGTTTAAAATGTTTTCGGAATTTATGGAGGATTTGCCAATAAATTCAAACTAATGGCATTGTTATAATCTTAATACAAATGATAATTGAAATACCTGTAAAATATGTTATTCTGGTATTCTGTAAACATAAATAAAATGACATCAAAGATGGTGCCCCTGCTTCATTTTATGACATTTTGTTATAAATTATCCAAGACAAACAAACCAAGAATGCTTTTTCACAAACAATGCATTCTCTTGATGGATTCTATTGATAATATTGAAACCCAGAGTGAATTTCATGATCAAGTTGAGGTAACACATTCTCTGTTTGTTTATCCCCAGTACCCCGGTGTGGCTCAGAGTATCGACAGTGACGTCAACAACCTGATGACAGTGCTGAATATTAGCAATGCCCTGCCTGAAGGTGAGCTCATTTTCATGCATGCAGACACCACGAGCTAACCTGCTAAGTCATACGCAAAAGACAAACACATGCACAACTGCACTCAACTTCCCTGTGTGTCTCTTTAGGTCTGTTTCCAGAGCACCTGATAGACGTTATGAGAAGAGAGCTAGCATTAGAGTGCGATTATATAAGAGAAGCCCAGTGTGCAAAGAAATTCAGGTGAGTCACATGTGTTTTTATTGTAATTCACATCATACATTACCAGCCTTTTTCACCTGGATTTATTTATTTGTATTTTCATCCTGTTCTGATCCAGGGAGTTTCTAAAGGACCAAACGTTCTTCTACGTACCAGAGGTGATAGAGGAGCTGAGCAGCGCCCACGTCCTGACCACAGAGCTGGTCCCCGGGTTCCCCCTGGACCAGGCTGACGGCCTCACACAGGACCTGAAGAACGAGGTACACAGCTGCCAAAACCAGACAGATCGATGGATGTCTAGCTGGCTAATGTGTCTATTTATCTGGCGAGAAACGCATTAGTTAATGTGCTCAGAGGGGGTTTGTGTAGTGTTAGGGGGGGACCAAATTAGTTTCTTCCTGATCAATAAACACATCGATGGATGGGTCTCCAGTGGCAGGAAAGGGAACAACCCGTTTCCCCTCTGTCCTTTCATTTTCCTCCCACAAGTCCCTGCTCTCCTCACCTCCTCACTTTTGTTTGTGCATTAGATCTGTGAGAACATCTTGAAGTTGTGCCTCAGAGAGCTGTTTGAGTTCAGGTACATGCAGACGGACCCCAACTGGTCCAACTTCTTCTATGATCCGCAGACACACAGGGTGAGTCTGTCAACTGAATACTGCTCTCACTAGAGATACTTCCACTACAATAATAATGATAATATGGTATTGAGACTAAGCCAAAATGTCATCATGGGATTATTTCCCTCTAGGTGGCGCTGTTGGACTTTGGAGCCACAAGAGGATTTGACAAGAGTTTCACAGATCCCTACATAGAGGTAAGACCAGCCGGCATAATTTTTACTTTTCTTTATTTTGATTTCTAACTATTCATAGACAAAGTCATGTTCTTCATCAAAAATAAAGCCTAAGTTACTGTATACCACCAACACTGTTTTTGTAAAAACTCATAATTGTGATTTAACTTGCAGTGAGTCCTAAAAGTTTTTGAAGTCTTACTTCCATTGGATTTATAGAGAAGACAAAGGCTATTCGTACGCTGCAAGCTTAAAATATTTGACACATTGTGGCCAAAAATCGGATTCCAGTATGTAGTGATCACTTTTATGAAGTGACCGGCATGCACAAAAGAACAATAACACAGACGTCACACTGCAGTCTGAACATAGACAAAGACATTAAAGTGATATTGGTAACAGTCATTCCCTGTTTGTTATCATAGGTAATCCGTTCAGCTGCCGAGGGTGACAGAGAAGGAGTAGCGAAGAAATCTATTGAAATGAAATTCCTGACCGGGTATGAATCCAAGGTAAATATGTCTTTGCTTAACGGCTTGGTTTCACGACACAGGTAAAAAATACCCCAAATATGTTTTTGTTTCTTCAGCAAAATTCCTTTTGCAAAAACTGACTATTTATTCTCATTAGTTAAGAATAATACTATAAAGAAAAATCTTTATTTATAGAACATTTTTCATAAAATAGATGCTGCTTGAAGTGCTTTAGAAAAAGTTGAAAGTGAAAATAAAAAAGTGAGAAATAAATGTAAAATGTGTAACGTATATAGAATGACATTAATTAAAGTCATCTAAATAGGTTTTTAACTCGTTTTTTCTCCCCATGTATCCAGGCGATGATAAACGCCCATGTGGACGCAGTGATGATCCTCGGCGAGGCCTTTAACTCCACAGACACGTTTGAATTTGGCGCCCAGTCCACCACGGAGAGAATCCACAACCTGATCCCTGTGATGCTCAAACAACGGCTCACCCCTCCTCCAGAGGAGACGTACTCCCTGCACCGCAAGATGGGCGGCTCCTTCCTCATCTGCGCACGGCTGAACGCCAAACTGAACTGTAAGGACATGTTCCAAAATACGTATGCAAAGTACTGGGAAGGCCGCACACCCCCTGCTCGCTAAGCCAATCACAAGTGTGAGGCGATGTGATGGATCCCGGGGCCAAGGAGTCGAAGGTGAGGTTGTGGTGTTAAGACGCACAACTGCAGAGCGGAGGCCATGTTTCCCGCCATTAACTGGTCATCGAGCACCAACTTATTTTCCCCATTAAGGGCCACCCACTACAATGAGTTTCTAAAAGGCATTTAAACCTAATAACAGCCATAATGTCTTGTGTGAAACAGACTGAAAAGGGACATAAACAAAAAGCCTTGTATGTCCAGGTAAAAAATGAATGTAAAAAGGTTTGAAATTATCTCTCCTCAGATGATTTGTGCTTTTTGTTTTGTTTTGCATTGCTGTGTTTTGTTTAACTTTTGGAAAATTCACACCAACTGTTGAGTTTTGCCATAAAGGAAATGTCATGGATGAAAAACTGAAAGATTGTACTAAGAAATGCAACTCTTTATGTAATTTATGGTCAGTATGAGGCACAGTGTAGGCGAGGACCAACATATTTGGGAAGTTTTATTAGATTTCTTGACGGCACTTATACTGCTTGGTCTAAATTTAGACGGCTATATAAAAGCAGCAGTCTTGATGAGAACAAAATGGATGATAACCTTTTCCAAGCATTTCAGTTCAGTTTGATTATTTATGTGGTCGTAAAAATGACGAACTGGAATTTGTCGGCATTCACACATACTGTAAGAGGCTGACTTGAAACTAATATAAGTACCTTTTCTGTATCAGTAGAGCCATCCAAATTCCAGTTGCTGTTTGTAGCGTTTAGCTTTTAAATGAGAAACGGTCTGGACAGAATAAAAAATGCTGTTTATCAGCACCAACATGATATTCATTCACGTGTTAACCCACTTTGAGTTAGATCACTTGTATTCTGTTTGTGTCTTGCGACAAAACTCTATAGAGCTTCTGTTCATCTTTTATGTCCCTCCTGATGATGTTTTTTCAAACTGTCTACATGAGCTCATGAATTCCAGTTGATAACTAACACAATGTTAGCATTATCGATCAGAATTTAGATTCTGTTATACATTATTCATTTTTATTTTAGTGCTGTACCAAAGCAGGATTTATCTCTGTTCAATTGTATGTTAAATGAAACCACATGGATCTATGTTTCTCACTGTAAGAAGTCTGAGCATGAAAACCTGTATTTAGACATGAATGGTAATATCCTGGATGGATACGCTCATCACGATATCATACAGTCTATCAGACACGCTAAGTAGGCTCACTTTCCTTCCACAAGACTTACATCTTTCCACTCCTTCTCAGGTGTCAAATCTTCCTTTCCTGGCCTGTGTACAACTGTCAAACTTCTCCCTGCTGTGCTGTTTGAATACGGTTATAATGTTGTAAAAAATGAAAAAAAAGGGGCCTGTAGTTCCCAGTGGAATGCTTTTAGCTTTATAATACATATCAAGACTTGTGATAAGATGGTTTATATTTCTAATCAAACTGAAAGTTGTGATAAAGATATTGTATGGATATTTGGCTCTGTGTTGTTTGTGTTTGTGACCTAAATACATTCAACCCATGTAATAGAACTGCAGCTCTTCAAAGAAATGTCAAATAGTCTGTCAGGGCAGTTGAAGAAAAACATAAATCTAAATGTATATGAAGCCCAGATGTTCTCATGTGTCCCGGTCCTCTACTGTAGGTGAAAGAGGTTGTAGTGTGTCTAGGGGAGATAAAAACAGAGAGAATACAGTAGTGTGTTTAGGGGAGATAAAAACAGAGAGAATACAGTAGTGTGTTTAGGGGAGATAAAAACAGAGAGAATACAGTAGGGAGCGGCAGTATGAGAGGTTGTCTTCCTTATTTAGCAATGTCTTGGCTAACAAAAGGGGAACTGGCACAGTGCCTGAGAAACACATAAATAAGCACCAAATATAAACATGCACATCAATATCCAGGGACATTAATCATGCCAGTACTCATGCACAGGAAATACGGTGTTTTTGAGTTAGTGCATGTAGGTGGAAACCTATAAACACATTTTCCTCCCCCCTTTTCCGCTCTTGAGTCACCATCAATTATAATACTTTTTGAGTGTTCACACTTAATACAATAACTCCAAACTTGTTTTTCAGACACAGTCAGTCATGATTCACCTCAGTGTCCAGCACATGGCGCTGTTGTGTTTCCACACAGTGACTTAACAGGTCATGTTGTGTAAAGCTCCATCCATTGCTAAAATACTGGCAAGCCAATAAAAGACAGAAACATAACCAGCCAGAAGCAAGACGGATAAGTAAATGAAACTCAGCTGGCTTTAAGAGTAATTTCTACTTTATTAGATAATATTCTGTAAGCAGCTGTGGTAGTGAGAATAGCAAAACAAAGCAACAGTGGTCATTAGATGCTCATCGACTCATATTAAACAAACCAGATCCACTTCAGGGTAAACTATACTTCGAGCTGAATAAGCTAATCAAATAAACTGTTCTCATTATATGGCCTGCAAACCTCAACAACTACAGCATCAGTTAAGTATATTTTAACTGCAATAATTTATTATTCTTGTTATAAATAATTGTATTCTTATTATGCTAGAAAATGTATGCAATTTCAATGAATTCTAGTCAAATGCAATCTGCTGTTATTCGCAGAATACATGTTCTAAATCTGTTTTATGGAAACCACAATTGACTGCCATGATGGAAACACTAAGTAACAGTATATTTTCCATAAGGTCAGGAGGACAGTTTAAAGTTGCAAATATTTTGGGATTAGAATACTGTGACTATACCGAGGCTGGGACTGCAGTTTGGGTCCCGGGAGTGGGGGGGGGAGATTTTCTAACCAACATTGCTGTGTTATATCCTGATGACCTAAATTTGTTTTTGACATTGCAACTTGCTGAGCTGAGATGGAAACAACTCGGCACTGGTTGTGTTTACACTGAATAGAGGATGGTGGGAGTGTTAGGAGGGATGTTGTGCACCTACCGTAGTTGTCTGGTGAGAAAGAACAAGCAGTGACAAATCCTTATTTGGCAAGAGAGGACAGTCAAGTCTGGGCACAATTCTTAGGCAAACACCCTCACAACAGTAACTTTAGCAGTTTGCTCCAGTGTGATTTACATCTTTTTTTATCCTCGTCTGTGCAGATTTTTCATGTGACACATTTATTTAATTGCTATGGAAACTGATTTTATACAGCTTTAATGTGGGGTATCTATTCAAGAAATTAACTTCTGGTCCAAATCTGATCAAATTAAACAAGGCCAGTTGAGGTATTGTATTTAGATATGCCAATTTTACTTGAGAGAATTGTCACGAAATGCATTTTTTTCACTGTAGTTTATAGCTTCATAATTTTGAATCATAATTTCCTTCATAACCAACCTTTTTCACAAAACGTTACAATAAAATCACTTTTTATGACCTGCTGCCAAACAAATAGAGAGAATGAAAATGCCAAAAACATAAAGTAGTTCCAATATAAAACAAACGGCTACTACTTCAGTAAAGTATGTTAACTGAATACATGGTCATACTAAATGTAGCCTACCCCTCACATTAACAATTGTCAAAAGTAGGCCTACATCTCTGAGCTAGCCGTAAACAGCACTGTGGGTAGGTATATGATTTTGGCTAAATGCTAACGTGGGTATGCTCACATATGCTCACAATGACAACGATAACAGTGTGTACAAGGTGTAAGGTTTAGTATAAGGTTTAGCACACTCTCTTTCTTTATAGCAGCATCTTTGTTTAGCATGCTAGCTGGCTAACATTCGCTAATTAGCAATTAGCAAGGGTCCATTCTGACAGGAAAGGAAGGAGATAAATGAGATAAATGAGACACCTGTCTGCTGGGGCAACCCAGTCTCAAGGCATTTCATCTATTGATTCGTGTTCACCAACACGATTTCCCCTTTTTTTTCGTGTCACACAGAACGATTTTAAAAGCAATGTATTTCTATTGGTAGTGTGTTTCGTGCCTGCACCACGTCTTTTTGTCCGGTCGGGTCTTGCAAGACCGGAAGCTGTGTGGTTCATAAAAACATGTTCTTACTCAATATCAAGCCACAATTATTGTTTTTTATTTTAAATCGTATAATGTCGGACTTTTTTTGCCGTCCGTGAGGAAAAGAAATGGGGCTCAGAGCCTCAGAATACTGAAATCTGTATTTTTTAAATCTTTTTTTCCTTCTAATTTGTTATTCTTTTCTAAATAACACACTGTTATTTACTCAACAATAACACACAATTATCCTTGTTTTTATTTATTTGTTTAATTCTATAATCTCGGGCTTTTTTGGCGCCCTTCAGGAACTGAATTTCAAATTAAAATAACCGGAAACAGATACACACCCACTGAACTGATTACCCAAGATCCTCAGCTATGGTTTAAGCTCGGTGATTGGATTGTTTAGCCGCAATGCATGTTGGGATATGGTGTTTATGCAAAATGAAATCCAAATCTTTTTTTTTAAAGAAAATAATACTTTATTCCGAGTGTACTTGCTTTTCTCTTTGAAAGTCATCACATAACGGCATTTTAATAACGGCTGCATTAAATATTACACATCTGCCGTAGTTCTCTGATTAGAAGACCTTTGGACAAACTGGAAGAACTGCCGCCGAAACTGAATACGTGACGTGGATCATAAATATATCAGCAATTAAACAACATCTTCACTCTGCTACTGGAGCCTCGCAGTGGCGAAACCGTGCCGCGCCACACTAATTGCGCCGCATAAACGCATAGGTGTGCCGCAGTTGAGGCTCCCTCCGCGAGGTGAGGCCCCAGCATGATCTTCCTGTAGGGAGGGACGGCCCTGCTTATAGGCCTACGTCTGTTTCCGGTTATTTTATTTTGAAATTCAGTTCCTGATGGACGCCAAAAAAGGCAGAGATTATAGAATTAAACAAATAAATAAAAACAAGGATAATTGTGTGAATTAGAAGGAAAAAAAAATTACAAAAATACAGATTTCAGTATTCTGAGGCTCTGAGCCCCATTTATTTTCCTCGCGGACGGCAACAAAAGTCCGACATTATACGTTTTAATATAAAAACAATAATCGTGGCTTGATATTGAGTAAGAACATGTTTTTATGAACCACACAGCTTCCGGTCTTCCAAGACCCGACTGGACAAAAAGACGTGTTGCAGGCACAAAACACACTACCAATAGAAATACATTGCTTTTAAAATCGTTCTGTGTGACACGAAAAAAAGGGGAAAATCGTGTTGGTGAACACGAAAGTTTAATAAAGGTTTCTGGGCATCGTTGCTCTTAAAACAAATCCAAAAAAGTGTATTTCATGAACTTCTCCTGGTCAAGAAGTCCCTGCTGGAGTTGTGCTGATCCCTGAAGCAGGTGGGAAGATTGGAATCATATTCAGATGCATCTTGGACCTGTTTGGATGCAACTGTGAACTTCCTTGCCTTGTTGGGGCTCTAAGATAAGACACACAACACATTCTTTTTCACACCTAGACTGTTGATTTAATGAGCATTTTGTAGACTGTTTGAGTATAAACTAGGCCTACATTTTCATTTTCAGTTTAGTATTCAAAGATTTGAAGGCTTAATTGTCATATGAACAATATCAGTGTAGTTTTGGTAATGAAAATCGAATTGATGATTGCCTCAATGCTGCTTGAGAAAAGCAATCAAATGCTCTCCGCTCAATTTAACATAACTCTAGCTTCTGTAATGTAAAACAAACAAACAAAGGATTTAGAGCAAATTTGGTAGCAGGGTTAATATCAAACATAGCACAGCTTTGACAGTTTTCATGTCAAGCTCAGAATATATTCAGAGAGATATGTTAATGAGTCATGAGTCAGATGTGAATTCACCATTTAATTAAAAAACGTTGTGCGTATTGAGTCCTACAGGGATAAGCCTTTATGATGTTGCTATTCAATACAATGAATACACAATTCCTCAGCTTCACAGGGGGGATGAAATCCTGCTAATAAATACTTTAAAATTAAACATCTTAAATGAGACACGCACAATTCAGTCACAGGCATTAATAATAATAAAGAACCCAAACTTTTAATTGCAAGATTTTTTTTATCAGTCACCTTAATTACTTAAAATAAAAGCAATTCTGCAAAGTCACAGAATAAAGCTACGAACTAAATTCTAAAAGTGGTGTAGGTTACTCTATACAGTGACTTAACACCAAAACTATGCATGCAGAAAACTGTACATAGTAATGTAGTATGTTCATTTACGATCGAAAAAGCTATCACAACATCACCATCATTAAAACAAAGTGTATCAATAACAATGGTATTAGATCTACAGTATAACTTGCTCCCAAACCCACACAAAGCAAATAATATCCAGCATCACTGCTACAGAAAAACTTCTGGGAAAACATTGGTCATTTGTAAGGCATTAAACATCATCACCATAACGGACTTCATCATCATCATCTGTCTCACATACAAATACTTTACAACACATAATCAGAAAAACATTGGCTAAATGCTAAGGCATTTAGCTAAGATGATACATACAAGGAGAATTCAAAGAAAATCAATGATACATCATTCAAAAGAAGAAGAGGGTACATTAACAAGGTGATACATATTAAGCTTGATTTCTATAAAGGCACGACCATAATAAAGTAACCATGAATACAAGTATTTCTTCCCACAAATGTGCTGCATGACATGCTTAATTTGTCCCATTTTAAGGTAGTAATAATCTGTTTTAGAGGGTGTACCGTAAGTAGCATTTAGTCAAAAAGCCCCAGTTGGAGCCCATTAACTGAGCTTCCCGATAACACACTTGAGAGTGATTTTGACTCTCCATTAGTGTTACGGCTCAGACTGTCTGGTTAATTCCTTTTCATTTAAGGCTCTTTGACTTTTGATACTTTTGGATATTTTTCAGGGAAGTGAGTCAATAGTACAGTGCATGAGAAAGCTGCTGGGAACGGCTTTGTTTGGATCAATAGTTCCAAGGCAAGTTGTGTTCAATATTACAACATTTTCATTTAATCTTGTACGAGATAGAATTGGCCATTTCTAATTAACAATTGTACACATTGTACTGAGGCCATTCTCTAATCTCCATTTCCAATATTGCACCTAAACATTAATATATATACACATAACATTAAAAATACTTTAATAGTGTTTAGCACTGCTTACTGTATGTGAACTCTTAACCTATCCTGGCTGATGATCCTTATAGAACAAGTCAAAAATAACTGTTCAAACAAAGGCCCTCAGTCATCATTTTAATAATGTTATCTTTGTCGTTATGTGTGAGACATACTGTAGCTCTCCAGAGTCAGTTCTCCAGAGTGGCATATTTTCAATTAGATTCTATGTTCTAATAATGTGTAATATCCTTTTGACACTTGTTTCCACATTTAAGAGGTATGGAAATTCTAATCAAATAATTATAGGTTGAATTAATCATTTTGCACACATTCCTGTAATTTTTAGGATAACATCCATCTTGTGACCTGCAGTGAGAGTCGGCATGCTATAATAATATTGTAGCTTCAATAATTATAGGCTGGTTGCAAATAATTCCTCCATCTTATTTAAAATATCATTGATACTCGCCATGTTTTGCTTCACATTGATTGCCTGAATAATTGTTGATTTTAGGCTCAGTGATTGTCAAATTAAGAGGAAAGTCAGCCTCAAGAGTTTAGAGAAGCTCAAAGTGAAACAGTGCAGCAACATGGGGTTAATATCACCAAAGAAAGGCCACTAAATCACATAGGAGGCTAATGCTAAAGTCTAAAGATAGTAAAACCTTCAAATAAATCCACAGACATCTTACACTGAAATAAGTGGATTGGCCGCCATTCGAGGCATTGGTAATGGTGGTTCTAGAAACACTTGTTATGAGCTAAATCATGTTGATGTGTTTCCTCCATTGATCAAAAATCCTTTATCAAACAAGTATCTTTAGTTTCTCACGCCGTCATGCCAACACATCATCCTCCTCCTTCATTATTTTCTTCCTGTTATGCACGAAACATATTGTCTGGTCTCTAACTTTTACAGATTTATGTTTTATGTCAAACAGATCAAATAAAAAATATCAAAAGACAGAATTCAGAAAGCACAAAATATAAACACATTGTTTTTCTTGCGACTGCACAGCTTATCTTTCCTCGTCCTGTCTCTTTCAATTAAATGTAAATGGGTCTTAACCAATCAGCAGCTTGCAATCAGAAGCAGTCAGCTGAACCATTCCTTCTTTTTTTCCCTCCGTGTAGCTAATTTATTTGAATGCCTCTGCTTCTCCGGCATTTATAAGACAGACAGCTGCAGGTCATCTCAAAGGTAAAGGTCACCTTCAGGCATTGGGGGAGGGGGGTCAACGTGATCCATCAGGAAACGTGAGAGCAACCTCTCAGACGTCCTCAGGAAGACCCTGGTCTCTATAGCCTGAGGAAGAAAATAGTGAGGAATGCTTTTTGAATGCTTGTAGAAAGAAATCGGGCTTTTATATACCTGGTGACGAGGTTATAAAATGCTTAAGATAACTACACTAAATGTACTTTGAACCATTGACACTATTTGCCTTTCTCTATTCCCTTTTTAATTGAGAGAAGTTAAAGCAAAGAGGTAGCTAAGTTGAAGCATTATGAATGAATGTTTATCAAATATTGGCTGGCAAGCAATCTCAGAACTCATCGGCTTTTAGTCACAACCATCTAGCCTCTGGGGGCAACGGCCAATATATATTGATTGGAAAATGTGAACATCGAAAGGAATCTATCCTATTCATCTTTACCTCATGTGTTGCAAGACCTTGTACAGAAGATGTGTGTGTTTTAAAGACGACATTGTTAAAAAAAAAAGTATACACAAAGTAACTCCAAATAACAGCCCTAAATGAATCTTGGCAATGTTACAGAAACATCACATTTCCTATCAATTCGAGGTAGTTTAAATATTTGCTTAAAAGTTTAACGTGTAAGTCAAATCATCATCTAGACCAGTGCTTCTCAAAGTGTGGTCCGCGAGGGTCTATTGGTAACATTTCACATTTTAAATAAATAAATACATTTAAGTTTTCCACACTCTCGCGGGAATATCTCCGCAATGGAGCGAGCTTAAGTTTCGATTGCATGATCTAGCCCAGCGCAACACCTTCGTCACACATGTTGCCACTTGTTTGTACCATTTTCAGGCGATTTGTAATCTGTTCTAGAAAAACGATGTGGTTTTTTTTAGATTTCAAGAGGCATATAGAACAAACAATGGATGTCTTTTATGAACATGTATCCATGCTGAAAGTAGATTTAGATGTTTTAGGAGTGAGATACAGTAGAGATTATTATCTAATATATGCATCCGATGAAGCATTGCATGAAGTCTGTTGATGATCAGAGGCTGTTGTTGGGGCTGCATAAAGGTTTTTTATTTTTGTTTTGTAGGCAGACCATGCAGGCCAGCCCAATGGTCACCAAGGTTCATGTTTTAATAGCATTTTTACAAAAAAAGCCCACGCGAGCTTAACATGTGAAAAATGGCTTAGACCTCAGAGAGTTAAACTTGGGCCTGCGACCATAGTTTTACTGTATTTTGTTTTGAAAATCAACAGCGGAGGTTTGTGTCGTACTAAATGCGGTGTATTTTGCATATCTTTCAGTAGCCTACCATCTGTGAGTCTGTTGGACATAAACTCCGTAATAAATGTAGTCTACATTTCATAAGAGGTGTAAAACCTGAGCATTTTAAATCGCATTTGAACGAAATGCTTATATAATCTGTAGTTGTATTTGTATTGTTGATTTAACGTGTGAACGAGGCGATACAGAGAAGGTTAAGCTGTCATTAGGCTGTAGTTTGTTATACTGTTGGAAAGGTAAGCAGGCCTGTTTTTGGATATTTGCGGAGTTAGGTGGTCCGCGAGTGTTTTTTTATTGGTCAAGTGGTCCTTGGTATGAAAAAGTTTGAGAAACACTGATCTAGACCACCTGCAACCTGAACAATAAAGAAAAAAAAGTAATGACTTTGAATGGGACGTCAAGGCTTGACTAGCTAATTTATGTAGCTTTTTAGCAACACACCCACCTTTACTAGCAGATTGAATTTGATCAGTTGGCTTTTAGCTTTCCCAAACATTACATGGTGTTTATCACCAGAGAGTCAGGGTTAATTTCCAGGGTCCTTTGAAGCCTTTTTAATGCCAACACAGATGAGAACTACTGTACTTTTAAGAGCTAAGGTTTCATAAAGCCAACTCGATGACCATTTAGCAAACTCCATTCACTGATGAAGACCATGTAGTACAACTATTTCAAAGTTCAATAATTAACTTTAATGCTTTAGCAGATGAGATTCTTGTTAAGATACCAAACATAATATGTGATTCCTTTCCACCAAGATGAAAGATCATGAGAAAGTTCTGAATCAATGTTTTTATAAGTAAGCCTGGGAAATGCTCCTATTTGTTTTGGCTTATTCCAAATGTTAAATTGACCAAACTGACTATTCATTCATTCTGTGACGTGCTTCTACGCAAGTATAATAACTCGCTGTTAGTGAGATGGAAAAAAAGAAAAATCACCTACCGTCAGAAACTTTCATGGAGAGGGAGAAAAAAAAAGAAAAAGAGAAGAGACAGTTAGGAATAAAAACTACGAGTTTCATTGTTTAATACTTTCTAAGTGTTCTGAAGTTTACTCTTAAAACATGCCTTTTGGAGAAAAACGAAGCAATCCCTGCAGAGCATTCTAGTAACTTTCAAAAAGCTCACCTTGCTTTAAGATGCATATATGATTAAATAAAAACACATGCAGTCACAATCTTTGGTTTTCTGAATCAATGAACAAAACAGGGAGACAGGGACGGAAAAAAAGAAGACTGAAGAAGAAACTGAGGTGGAGAGGGAGACGGGGGGCGGGCAGAGAGTGGGAGGACTACTGAGAGAAAGGATGAAATGGGAACAATCATTAGATAGAGAAGGAGGGAGATCAGTGGGAGGAAGAGGAAACCATGATCAAGATGGGAGGGAGAGAAGAGAGGGTCCCTGTAGAAGAAAGGAGGTTTTTGAAGAAATGGACGTACAGAAAGAAAGATTGCATTGATAATTTGCGACATCATGGAGGGAGTAATTTATAAATATGCAGCATTATTACAGTTAAAGAAGGATAAGAGCATCCCAGACACAAAGACATGTACTGTAGTGTGGTGATGAATTGTTGAGTAATAATAAGAAGCAACATTTTGAACCGAGCATTCAGTGCTCACAGGGAAATGGGTTTTAATATTCAATATAAATATTTAATACGAGGTTAACCGCGAGCGCTAACCAGGGTAAATATCTTTTGGCTGCAACAATTGAATAAGACGTTTGCCCAGAGGCCTAAAAAAACGGTCTGGAGCAGTGAGCAACACCACGGGGGGAATCTCACTCCCACACACTCACAATTACTGTACCTCTCACACACACAGGTTTTACCATGAATGTTCATACCACCGCACTTTGGGTTGCACACGCAGGCAGCAATTACCACACAAATGCACACACAAAGGAGAGAGCGCTGTGGTAATTCAAAGGATGCCTCAGTGCAGAGAGAATAGTTACACTTTGTGTGTGTGATTTTGTGTGTGTGTGTGTGCTTGTTCGTACATCAAAGCCTAAGGTGATCACACTACTTTCTGACAGAGAAGGGGGTCAAATTACCCAGCCTCTCCCATCCCTTTACATTATTGCTCATTCTGTAAGTAAAGTATAGAGCCATTTTAAACAAATTAGCGTTGTGCACAGCGGCTACAATACATTTGGCTTAAACAATGGATACTATTTTTTATAAAAGAGTCTGCTGAAATCGGTGCCCCTATTTAACAGCTTTGGTGTCTTTGCCCTTTCAATGATGACCAATATTTACTGAGCCAGATTGTGGTCGTACGGAATGATTGTAAACCCATTTTGGCAAAACATGTCTTTTTATGTTCTTTTGGGTCATATTTATGTTGTTTCCTCATTAGATGCATACTATGGTTTTCAGCAAATGTTCAAACAGGAGTTAATACTGCAATCTTTGAGGATTTTCTTTCTTACATGTAATCAACTGCACTGACATTGACTATGTTTAATCGTTTTTGGACGAAGATAGACTAGCTTTGCTCAATTGCGTTTTTTTCAGCAATTTATTGAAAGCTAAAACAATATAGTCATACACTTTTATCATCTTTCTAAAAGCAACTTATGAAAATAAATGTCAATATTAAGATATCATATTGGAAAAAGTAAAAATGGTTTCATTTCCTAACTTCCCACATCCCTTCAGGCTTAACACTAACCATGACCTGTGTGTGACCCCAATATTAAAGCAGATTCCAACCACAGATTTCACAGAAGTTTGGTATTTAGATGTTCAGGTTGTGAAGTTGTTAGTTGTTTGGTTACAACACATTCTTGTCAAGGTTGCGGGAAAATAGGGCCCAAGTGCAGTTAAAATATACAAAAAGGTTTGGTTAACAAAAAGCGAGCTTTATTAAAAAAAGCCGAAGACATGAAAAACAAGAAACTAATTAACAAAAACAAAACCGGGGAGCACGACAGACAGGACCAAACTTACAGACGGGAACAGGCAGGAGACATGGACAAGCATAGACTAGCATAGGCGAGGCAGGGAACATGGATATGAAACGACGACGAACAGACATGGAGCACAGGGGAAGACCAGACTAAATACACAGAAGGGTAATCACAGGACAAGACAGGGGCCGTTTCTCAATCGCGAGGATATTGGCTTCCAAGCCAATATTTCAAGGATGTTACGTCATCGAGTGCCGCCGAAGGACTGTTCCAATCTCCAGCATACTTGGAATTCCACCGAGGCCGTGTCCTTGGTTTGGGGGAAATTTCGAGGCTGCACATGGGTAGACTTCGCGTCCTTAAAATCCACACAATGCTTTGCGCATGGACCAATTTCCCCAAATCTGTGGCGGAAGATGTAAGGCGGGGCCTCTCATATGACGCACACCTGCACACTTGCTAGCCTGTTCCACTCTTTGTTTTCCGAATGCCAGGAAGTATTCTTGCCTTGCTTCTGAAGCAAGATGCTCGGCTCGGCTGTGCTACCAAGCCAGCATCCTCGCGATTGAGAAACGGCCACAGTTGGGCAGGGGAGGCAGAAACTCAAGGGCAACAGGTGAACACAATCAGACACACCAGGGAAACTAACGACAGGAAGGCAAACACAGGAAGCAGGACCAGACAAGACACAAGGAGGAAAACATTTCAAAATAAAAAAGGTGGAAAATGAAAACAACAAATCCAAAACCATGACAATTCTCACTCCCAACTCGTACTATAGTGACGTTATGTCAGGATCCCTTGGCTTCACTATCAAACGCAGTGGGGGGGCCTTTAGCGTCAATTTTCTACTATCAGGGAGTCCCATTGACTTGCATAGAGCTCCCTGAACGTTGGTAATAGACGAGTTGGGATCGCGGAGAAATGCTCTCCGCAGACCCATTTTCACAGCGTTTATCAACCTTTTTCTTACTCAATATCAAGCCACACTTATAATTTTTACTTCTTTATTTTAATTGTATAATGTCGGACTTTTGTTGCCGTCAGTTAGGGGGAGAGTATGGGGCTCAGAATACTGAAATCTGTATTGTTTCATCGTTTTTTCCTTCTAATTTTGTATTATTTTCTAAACCACACACTGTTATTTACTCAAATCAAATCAAATCAAATCAAATCAGGTTTTATTTATATAGCACATTTAAAAGCGATTTTTGGTCGAGCCAAAGTGCTGTACATGTAATAAAAACACATTACTACAATCACAATAAACGACAATAAGTTACAACAGATATATATAAAAAACTAAATTAAAATAAAAACACAAGGAAAAGTCAACAATAAGACACAATTATCCTTGTGTTTATTTATTAGTTTGATTGTATAATGTCGGACTTTTGGAGTCCGTCAGGACCGAGGGTCGGAGCAGCTCATTCGAACACAGGAAGCTGTATTTTCAAAATAAGAGTTAATTTTAATATCTTTTTTGATAATATATTTTTTATTAACTAGACCACTGGGTCATGTTAAGTCCATCTTTTCTGTCGGTTTGGTGTGACTTATAAGTCAATGGGACTCCCTGATAGTTGAACATTTACGCTAAAGGGCCCCCCACTGTGTTTGATAGTGACGCCAAGGGATCCTGACATAACGTCACTATAGTACGAGTTGGGGGTGAGAATGTGTTGTTGGATAAACTCCATCTACTGCATGTCATGTGCAAGACAGACAAACAAAAGGAAAGGAAATTAGATTAATATACAAAAACAGAGGTGATTTAGAAGACTGTCAGATGGAAAGATAAACACAGCTGGATAAGTACTGACTTGCCAGGATGACCATGTCCATTCCCCAGAAGATGCTCATGATCCATCCCACCATGATAACAGCTGTCAGTATCTGGATGAAGGCTGCTGCCACGTTCAGCCAAAACACACAACAAACGCCTCGCTGTGAGACCAGCTCGCTGCGAGCTCCGCACAGCACTGTGAACGCTGAGATGAAGGTACCTGTAGGGAAAAGACAAAAACGAATTGTACACAAATAACTAAGTTCATTTTCTCTTTTAGGCAACGACACTTAAACACAATATCGTCCATCAGTCACTGAAAGGACAGACAAATCCATTGGAATTTGAGCTAAATGCTATCCTCAGTCCGCTAACTTGCTGATGTTTTGCAGGCTATCTTTACCGCCATCTCAGTTTAGCGTGTAAACATGAACAAATTGGCACCTAACGCCAAAGCTGTATCTCAATTTGATTCTGAAAACAACACCGTTGCTAGCTAAGCTTGCTAATAGCTGCAATTGTGATTTCTGGTTAGGGCACAGCAGCTGTGTGCAATCTGAGCCACCCAGTAAAAATGTACACTGTGTACAAGGTTCCCATGCCATATCCCCAAGGATATGTAGCCTACTACATGAAGTATAAGAATTGAGAGACATAATGACTGATGAGAAGGTCATTAGTTTCGCATTTCTTTCATAAACCAATGTTTGTGTTGTCCTCGTCCTGACACCATGGATATGTACTAATCTATTTGTTTAGATGTTTCTCTAAAAAACAAATGTCATGGGTCACAGTACCAGTGTTCCATTTGCGGAAAAAAACAACCTTTTCCCAGAGTGAATGCCTTGACACAGCAATATAATCTCAAACGTCTATTCAGTGTCCCTGAGTAAATGTGGCATTATATAAAGTGGATCTATGTCTTGGAAAAGAGCACAGAAAGATGCGGACACATCGATGCTAACATCCACTTCTCTGATAACAGAATTATCTCTGTGGACAATCCTTGTCCACCCAAATGAAATCCATTATAACTCCTTATCTTATTATATGGAGACCTCCCCCGCTCCGCTCATTGTACAGTACTGTGTGTGTGTGTGCTGTGCATGTGTCACATGGAGGCACGTGAGTGTATCTGTGCACACAAATCAAATTATTTCATACAGGATGTTTCCATGACAACATTCCCTCGGGATACAGTATATGTAGAATATGCATTTTACTCAGTATCATGGGTCTACCTGATATTGAATATTGACAAAATTGCAGCGTCTGTATCTGCCCAGCTGATATTCATATTCATTTTTGTGAATGGGACGTGACAGGAAATTCTCCTAAATGCAGCAACACTTCCTGACTCTGTTACTCCCCAGTCTGAGAAGGGCCCCTGAAGGCAGTTCCTTGGATTCATTTGCCATCCAGTAATTTTAGCCATCAGGGTCCAGTTTAGAAAATTCTTAAATATGTGTTTTTTTTTTAGATAATACAAACACATGCACACTTGTGCTGTCATAAATAACAGCAAGTCATCCAGAACTAAATCATTTTGAGAAATGTACATGTACTACTGTACCCTTTTCTCACCTACAATTGAATTAATCTACAGAGTCTTTTAGAATGTATCCCGTTTTTCATCAAATGATACACCCAAGTCTTATTCCGAAGGTCTACTGAGCTCGTATATGGGTTTAGGTTTAGATTCAAACTCTAAATGGACATTCATGGACTTCAAACAGCCTTGCTTCAAAGTTAAAGAGCATTAATTGTTGAATACATTTTCACTTAACTGGCTTTTTAAGTATTTGTGAGTCACTAAGGCCAAGAACAGATTACATTGACATTTAGACCTTCTCCCAGCAGTCCTTTTGTACTCTTTTGCAAATACTGAACAAAATACTGCAACAACTCAATGCCACACAGGAAATGCCTCGTGGGCGTTGTGTGCATCGTGGCCTTGGCCCTTCTCTTTTTGCCATGTACATTTCTTGTCACATCTGAGGAATTCAAATATCAGAGCAAGGGGCAAGAATGGTTGGCTGCCAGCTGCATCTCGAAAGGTCCAAGCAAACTCATGTACAGTAGAAGTCAGTTAGTTTTCTCTCTATGTGTATAACTGTTTTTTTCCCCTCCATCTGCGTCTCCATGTTCATATCTCTCTTTCTGATTAGCTACTGGTTATCAGGAAAAGTAAAAACTGAGGGCTCTGTCATAATAAATCTTTCTATAGAAACACAGGCGTACCAGTTTGTCCCATAATCTCTGACATATCTGGATGTACGCCTCAATATTTACTTTCACATGCCCTACAATGGCCTTATTAGGAATGGTTTCCAAAAAGTCATACTCTGGTACAAGCACAATCCCAGAATAGTAAGCAACCCAGGAAACGTTTTTTTTTTTTTTTTTTTTAAGGCAACATGTGGAAAAGCAGAGATGAATAAGACATTTGCTTTTAACCAACGCTCATTTCAAAGCATCTCATGAAAAGAGTAACAGTGGGCTAAAATGAGATTCTACAAATGTTCAGGTCGCGGGGGCCACGCCCACCAGCAGATGCTCTGGCTCCTGGTGGAGCGGCCCACCTCCACACATGAGCTATGATTGACAGCAAGCTGGTGGCTGATTGGTTACACATCACCTCCATCTTTGGCATGTACAATAAAATAGGATTTATGCAGTCTGGTATGTTTTTCAGATACCACTTGTGTGTGTTGTGTTCACTGAGCAGTAGGTTTTTTATTTTACTGTTGGAAGAAACCGGCATTTGCTGTGCCAGCTAACATGTATAATGATTGTCTTCCATTATTATAAATCCAATGGTAAAACGCTACTTAAAGGTCCCCTATGATACTGTTTTTCATCAATATATTATAGGTCTCAGATATATACAAAACATGTATCTGAAGTGTTTGGCTTGAAATACCAAACAGATCATGCATTGTAGCATCCCATAATCCCCTCTGTTTCAGCCCTGTTTCAAAAGTGCTGATTCTCTGTCTGGTACTTTATGAAAATAAGGAGCAACTCCCCACGCCCTCTGAGAGATATTTGGTTAAAAAGAACACAAAGGTGCTCTAGGAAGAGATTCAGGTGATAAGGTGGGGGGTGGGGGTTTCCTTGGTTGGTTATTGGCTAATGGTTACACAAGCCAAAAAATCGTTATGACATCATAAAGTGGCCAAAATCTGATCAGCTCATTTTCAGACAGGTTTTTATATAAATGGATCAGGACAAAAAGTGAGCCAATCTTTTTTCCTGAAACTTTCAGAATCTCTTTACACAGAGGGGACACATGTTTATGTATAAAAGACATGAAAATGGATTTTGCATAATACTGTAGGTGACCTAAAAAGAATGAACACCCCTCTACTGCAATAAAAAAGGGTTATTTAGGCCCCGGCTCCACGGGAACCCATACGGCAAAACGCATCGGAGTAACGCAAACGCAACCGCAAAAAACCTTCCGCCCACACGCAATATACACCGGATTGTGTCAAGCTCCACGAGACGGCTCCGTTTACATCCAACCGCTGGAAAAGCTGCAGTACATATGCCGAACCTGTACGTGGCGCTGTAACTTCCTCCACAAAAAGCAGCAACTTCCTCCACAAAAGCAGCGAAGAAGAATGGTTGTCATGGCTGCACTTCTGTTTATTCTCCGCGGTGGGGGCCGAGGGAACCGCGCAGAGTTTTTCGCCGGTCAATGTGTGTTAAAGTTTAAATCTTCATGCTTCCTCATGCAGCAGCTGATCCAGTAAGTAAACCCGACAGTAAAAATAAACATATTTATAACTAGTTTAGGTAGTTTGAGAGGTAATTAAAATAGCTAAGGGTGGTGATCTGACTTGAAGTGTGTGTTTTGCTCCCGCTGCATCACAGCCGGAGGAGCTGCGTGTCTCCGTCCTGTCAGATTAGACTTCACTCGCGTTTATGTCCATATCGAGATAAAGATAAATAATCTGAATTCAGTGTGCAGTGTACTTTTGCGGGGGTGAGTCGTCATTATCACAACCCACAATAATGGTGCAACCCTGCGATCCGCCATTGTTGTTGTTAACGAAACACATCAGCAATGATGCGGGGTACGCGGAGAGGTGGGAAGAGGTGGGGAGAGGCGGGGAGAGGCGGGGCTATGAAACGGATGACCGTATAGGCGACCCCACGGCCCCGTTGGACCCCCCAGAGCGCTCCGTTCCCAGATCTATCCACCTTTGGACCCGTTGTCGTTTGCGGGGTCTGTTTCTACGTTTCCGTTACGGCGTCGTCGAGCTTAAAGGGCTATACGCATGAGAAATATGCGGATTCAATGTCTTTGTACATCTCGGTTTGAGAAATCCAACAATCCACATGTGCGAAAAGCTCTTTGATTCCCTGTATGTCTCATGTTGGAGATTCTGTTTGTGAATATGTGTATGTGTGTGTGTGTGTGTGTGCGTGTGTATATGTGTGTGTGTGTGTATATTACCCAGACTAATGACTATAATTACAGAGAACTCTGCGAAGCACCCACAGCTAGTGTGGGAGGTTAATGATGGAGTGTAAGAGTGTGAAAGACAGTAAAACAGAAAGAGACTTAGGAGAACAAACAGAGGTAAAAGGGAAAAGGAGAGAAAAACAAATGTATTATAAAGCCGTTTAAAGCAAGTTTTATTCGACCAGAAGGATTACATTTTCATAACAACGCAGTCTTTTTCAGGGTATTTTGAGGCGCTACAAAAAAATATAATCAACATATTATAGCCGTACTGCTCAGTAGGTTGCCATACAAGTGTTTAATTAGTAACTCTATAACACAATGAATAACATTTCCAATTGGAATCCCTTGAAATTGGAAACGCGCTGCTGAAAAAAATACAGTTCTCACCTGCCCTGCTTTAAACAAGATACAACTAGCCAAATTAGGTATTATAGTAATACTTTTAGCCTTAGCGTAAGCAAGATACGTGCCGCCTGGAATACAATGCACATTTTAAATGGTTCATTTGAATCTGTCAATAACATTACAACTGTGTAACTGACGAAATGTACAATTATAGTCTTTTGCCAATAAGTACCAGGGACTGTTACTTGATTAGTTGATAAAAAACGGTCCTCCTTGTGCAGGGTCTCTATGATCAGAACTACTCCTCCCTTAGTACCAACATCAGTAATATTGGAGATGTTCATTAAATCATCCTGGCATCACTGGGTATGTTCTCACTTCTAAGCAGCAGCAAATCAATCATAATTACCTCCAATTCCTGCAGGAGAGAGCCATTATTAAGCCTGACAGCAATCACAATACTGATTCTAAGCAAGTGTCATGTGACCCAACGACTCGAAATCAATGTAGCGTTGCATTAATACACTGGACAAGTAGGACACACCCCTTTTTATACGATTATAGTTCTGTTTCTGTTTCTTTATTAATACTTTTGATGTAAAATAGTGCAGCAGTTAGCCTAGTGTAAAGACTAAAGAAAAAGCAGCTAGACTGGCTCTCTTAAAGGTCACCTATTATGCAAAATCCACTTTTCCATGTCTTGTATACATAAACATGTGTCCCCTCTGTGTAAAGAGATTCTGGAAGTTTCAGGAAAAAAAGTTCTCTCACTTTTTGTCATCCCCCCGGCTGCAGAGGCAGCTCTGGGCGGTGTGAACAGAGCGGGAGCAGAAAAGGAAAACCGGAGCTGAACCAGAAAAGCTCTAGCTCGGAGCTAGAAAGGGAAAAGCGCTGGTGTGAAAGCCGCATCAGAGGGGCGTGGGGAGTGGCTCCTTATTTTCATCTAAAGTAACAGACAGAGAATCAGCTCTTTTGAAACAGGGCTGAAACAGAGGGGATTATGGGATGCTACAATGATCTGTTTGGTGTTTGGAGGCAAACACTTCAGAGACATGTTTTGTATATATCTGAGACCTATAATATATTGATGAAAAAAAGTATAAGGGGACCTTTAAAACCACAATGAGTATATGGATGTAATAGCCTTAAAATCACAAACTGTCTTTAAGAGTCACAATGTTATACTTTCCTTTTGGTAAAGATTTCACAAATAATAAATAAAATCCTTAGTTTGTGAACATTAGGTGTTTTACAGTACATGTTGTTCAACTTGGAAAGAGAAAGGTTAGCTAGCCTTAGTTGTTGGCTATTAAATATACACAATTTATATTGCAAAAACAAATAAGTGTGACAGTGGACAAATGTTAACAAGTAGCCTACACACAACATTATGCCATCTGGTCATTATTTTCAGAAACCATTTTTATTTGCAGTGATCCAGCAATGTTTCTCAGGAAAAAGCTTTCCCTTATGTCTCAGTAGAAGGTATAACACACCAAGGAGCCTGGTGCTACAGTTTGTTATTTTATAAAAGTGTCCTGCGTTATTTGTCATTTTACATTGTTAATATTTTTGAAGAAGCCTCTTCCCTAACTCAATTAGACCCAAACAGCATTGACTCATGCACTCTCAAACACACGCAAGCATTGTGTTTTCAGTCAGCGTCGTCATGGCAACTAGCTGCAGCTATTCAATGAAATGTCAAGGCATTCAGGCCAACCTACACACTCACACTGTACAGTACACACACACACACACACACACACACACACACACACACACACACACACACACACACACACACACACACACACACACACACACACACACACACACACACGCACACACACACACACACACCTAGATGAGGTGTTGCATTGATGCTCTACATACATGTTTGGGACCATTTTGTAAAGAAACGTGGGGAGGCTGTATAAAATATTAACATTTCAGGGCAACTATTTGATTATTTTGTCATGGTGTTTGCTGACGTTGTTTTCCCTTACGGCTGTTTGTGACATCTTTTTAAGCAGTCAGTGGTTAGATATATTTATGGTGGAAAGGCAAATAGACTGTTGAATGTGAATGTAAGTCAGAGAACAAAAAACCTGAATTTAGATTTTTGTGATTGTTTTTATTTCATCAACTGCTACCTTCTTAAAGAATTTTTATTATAGTAAATTCAGCTGCTTTTGAAATGATCCACTGAACTAATTCAGAATGGTGTATGACATGTACAAAGATGTGTTTGTGTCTAACTTACATAGAGTATTAACTGTACGTGATTACTATATACTGTACCAACATGTATTTTTTAGCTACTGGATGTTACATTATCCTACTATACACAGAAACAGTACAGTAAACTGATTTTCTTAGAATACCTTATCTTGGGATTAGATGTGTTTCTCAATCATGTGCTTTAACACCAGAAAGTCCTTCATATTTCTGTCATACTGTTTGGCTTGTTCCCCCACTACACAATGATAGATTTTTATTTTTCAAACTTACCGTGCAGCTCTACACACAGGTGTCGTTTTTGCACAGTTTGACAGTCTCAAGGACGCGTGTCAAGCTGCTTATGAAAACCAAAGAAAGACTGTACAACACAAGTGCTCTTCATTCTACCTTTGTAGACATACAATTCTGTGTTGTTATTTCCACCACAAATTACAGGAAGAATCTCGGGTATCATTGTACAGCTAAAACAGACAACAAACATGCCATAATTCCCAGTTTATATAACTTTATGTATACTTTTCCTGAAACAGTTGACATTTTTTCTCAAATAAGCATCTAATATCATATATTTAAACTACATCGTCAGGACTTCTACCCATTATAACAACGCAAAGAGTCTACAGTGATAATGTCTCCACCTGATGTGATGATGTTGCTCATCGTAAGGAAAAGCTTCATACCCAGAGTAATTGCACCACATTGCACTACTGTGTGCATTAACACCCGGCAGACTGTTTTTTCCTGACACCCTTATTATAGCGCTGGGTGTGAATGGAGTCCCTGGCCACCTTTCTTTACCATTTTCACACACATCTCTCCCTGCCTGTGTGAAGGAAAAAAGCAGAGCAATGGAACAACTAGAAAGCAAGCTGGAGACAGTTCAAGTTTATTTTCCAAACTTTCCACAAAGCTTTTATAGTTGCATATTCCCCTCTGATTGCCTTCTAGTTTGTTATTGGCTGGCATCCCTGGGCCTCTCTTGCTGTCTTTTCATAATCTTCTGCCTATTTTTCTGCAATTTCTCAATTTCAAAACAAATGACATATGGAGATAAGACGGCAGTGTCATTCTCAGCTTACCGAGTCCCGGTATGAAGGTGTTCAGAAACAGACAGATGACGGCCAAAGGGAAGGGCATTGTGGGTATCGCTGCCCGCAGAGATCCTTTCTTCTCCCTGACCTCCACCACCACTCCTCCACCTGCTGTAGGGGCCCCTGCTATGGCTTTGGCCCCAAGATGGTCCCCGGTCTTGACACGCCTTCCTCCTTCTTTCTGTGCCATTTCTCTCCTTCTTTGTGTTTTATGTCTAAATAATGAAAATAGTTTGTATTTCAGGTAGATTTCAGGTAGATTTCTGCAAAAAGATTGAAATTATTTTCCCTTTGTCACGCTCCCCCTTGATTGAGTAGAGGCAGTTGTAATTGATCAACGTTGATTGGGAGGTGCATCAACAGGTTGTCTAAAGTAGTGTAAACTGATCAGAAAAAAAAAATGTATTTCCATAGAAACTTGTTCAACTTTATTCCAGAGGAAAAAAATAGAATTCTGTATATTTTCCTTTGGATTGGTCGAGCTTTTAAGTCCCAAAATCTCTTTTGGGCAGTTGACTTGTCTTCTTTCAAGTCCTTTAAAAGTGAACATCAGAGATCACTGATATCTGCTATTTGTGTCCATGTCCAACATGTTTTTCAGAAAAGACAGATCCTCCTTAAAAAAATATGGGAAAAAATCCTTGAAAAATCTGCGGCTCTTTTCAGTAAATTTCTCAGAACTTCCTTCTTTATTTATTTTTGAATCGGTCAAATCCCGATCACCCCGCACACCTCTACAAGACAAAGACAAAGTGCACTCTCAACCCCCCTCTCTCTACTACATCTCTGTTCCTCTCTCCCTCTCTTTTTCTCCCTCTACCCATCCTCTCCCTCCATTTAAAGGAACAGTGCACCAATATAAGGTTACCATTCAATGAGATAACATTCAACAAGCTGTCATTCAATGCGTCTGGGTGGTAATAAATAATTAAAGGCATTAATGTATTCAACATCAAATATAGGATGAACATAAAAAGGATGTTTGTGTTCTAAAGCTAGATCATAGTGACGTGTGTTTAATTAATATATCATTCATTCACAAGATATTGAAGTAAGTGGAAAGACATGAAGTCTCTGATAACAATTCATTAAAGAAGAAGCTAATGAAAATGTAATATCATATTAAATGTTTTCAAACCCAATTGTTGCGTGTCACTGAAAATATATCCCCCACTAACATTGATGCACATCATGTGGTCAACATTTTTATATACTACCCCTACTTCTCTTAAAATGTACACAGCCCTCCACTTTTTTTTAATATTTATATTTGTCTTTATTCTTTTTAATGTTATATCGTTTTTCTTTATATTTTCTTTTTATAATCGTTCTGTTTTTGTCCTCATGTAGTGTTTATATTTGCAGCACCATAAACAAAAGCAAATTACTTGCAATTAAGTCAATTCTGATTCTGATGTAACCAGATTTATAGCTATAACAACAAATGTTGACAGACAAATCAAGTAACATGACGGCAAAGTAGATAGAGAAAGGACAGAAAGCAAGAAGGCAGGAAATATGAAAAAATGCAAAATAAATCAGAACAAGGAGACGAGGGGAGGAACAGGAAGCAAGGACAAAGTGGACAGGGGATTGAAATGAAGGCAGTATCAATATCTCAGTAATTATTCATGATTCAGACCAAATCCCCCAAAGACCAGTCATTACTGTCTGTCCCCTCCCTCTCTAAACCCTATTTCTGACTTTTCACTTAATTCTCTCCATCTCACTTTTTCACCACTCTGTCGGCTCTTCATGGCAAGTGACAAAAAACACAAAGGAAATCAGTGCAAACCCTGAAATGATTCCCAGCTCGTGTGTGTCTCTCTGTCCATCTCTCCTTTCCTCTCTCTCATCTCCAGTTGGTCTCCTAGCAACCCGGGAAGCTGAGGGTAATTATACGGAAGATATTGATCTCAAGGTTTCTTGGTCCCCTCTCCGTCTCCCTCTCCTAATTCCAGCTCCGTTCCCACTTTTAATTTCCTTTTTAATCTTCTTTGAAACACAAAAGGCGGCCGCTATAGAAGGTGCTTCTACTTTTCTTTTTGTCATGCAAAGCGCCATTATGGTGTGTCTGACGGCGAAGGACTCGGAGAAATCTGGACCGCCTGAACTCATTCATCACTGGATTGCTCAGCCAAAGACGTGCTGTGTCATGTAGCCTACTGATGCTTATTACCATGACAACGTGATGAGAAAAGTTAGATGGCAGCCGTCTCAAACTGACTCACAGGTGTAGCTCTGTTGGCTTTGCTAGATTTACACTCTAATTTACCTTTTTCTGAACTTTATATAACGGTAAAAGTTGTTTAGTGTGTTGCTAATGCGAGGGTGTGTGCATGCATTCTTACCTCTTCGACCCTTTCTCCATCGTACACACGCACACGCACACGCACACGCACACGCACACACACACACACACACACACACACACACACACACACATACACACACACACACACACACACACACACACACACACAGTCGTTCTCTCAGGGTTCATTCATGTTGATCCCATCTGCGTTGAAAAGCTGACAACACCCACCCGTTATTTATGTGTGTGTGTCCTAATGACATCCCATTGTGTCCTTCACCCCCTCACTGGATCCTCACTACAATGACTGTAATGTTCACACACACTTTTTCCTCTCTCCTTTTCTTCTGCACACACTCGCTGGCTTTTATGTTTCTCTGTGCTCCCTTCTCTTTACTTCTCTCAGTATCATGGTTGTTAGGATAAAGCAGCAGGGACGTGCTATAGCGTTCTCTGTGCGCCTCATTTAAAGGAAGCTTGTAGATGTATTGGTCATTAAATGTGTTTGTGTATCACAACATGTAAAAACAAATACGAAAGAGGTTTAATTTCTGCTTCTACTCCTACCTTTACCAGGTCAAGATACTGTTGTATCACAATCTAATATTGTCACACTGAGACCTTTTATTTCTGATATGCAAGCCACATTTCGCTGCTAATACTTAAGTAGGGTTTAATTTGAAGTACTTTTTAATGAAGTATACACATTCTTTATTTTTACTGTTAAAAATTGGCACAAAAGATAAGATACAAAAGAGAAGAAGCTCCTACAGTTACTCTGTAAGGTAAATATGATAAATAACCAAGAGAGAACTGTATATATCAGTATATTTGAAATAAAAATAAATATCAGTATTCAAACAAAGGGCTTACTTTTAAAAATATAAAGTCCAGTTGAAAGAATAAGAGATTGCAGCATGTGGGAAATCAAGTATGTAGATTTAGCCCCTGCAGATTTCAGTTGGAGACCCCATTCTTTAGTTTGACCAGAGCCGGCCCGACCCATTACACCTGAGAGGACGGCAGGATTGTAATTTCCCGTGTTAAGTGAATGCAACAGAGGCAAGGCACCAGACCAACCAGAGAGTTGAATGGAAATAAACATCTGTCTTATTGGCTGACAGGTACCTATCCTGTGAGCTGTGACAATGTTTAAAATAAACTGTCAGTCGGACTCAGAGTTTTTGAAGATGGACATAAGAACATTTGTTCTTAAAAAAGTCGACAATTCTCAACTTAAGTGGTGGCTCACACAACAACCCCAGAGCCACCACTTGAGCCAGGTGAACAAGGTATGTAAATGTCAGTAAACTTCCAAGTTATGCGAACATGAAAGCAAAGCATAAATTACAGCTACGTTGACGTTACTTTGAATCGCGGGGGTACGCTAAACCGTTAGCAAGTAGCTATAGCTAGCCAGATATATTAAATAAACACTTTGTCATACAATCTAAATGTTATGTTTTTTAGCGTTACCTGGTGATTTCAAAGAAAGCTCTTTGGAAAATGTTGACTTACTGTTCGACATGAAGCTAGAAGCTACCAGTACACAGTCCTGTCAGTTAAAGTGTTTCATAGTTAGCTTAGCTAAGCATCAACCTAGCACTGAAATATATGGATGTTATGTGACAGTATTTCTGAGAAAAAGTCGCTGAAATGGTGGCATAGTTGCCACTGCTTTACGTGTCGACAGCATGTTTGAACGTATTTGCAGCAGTAAATGTGGCTGTTTGGCCACTGACGTTGCCATAACAACACCTGAATTTAAATGTGCAACCTCTTTTTGTGACAGATTTTTGCATGAAATTATAATTCTTCTGAATGATATTCCTATAGAGTGGCGAAGTCCCTCCCACTTACTTCCGGGGTATGGGACCTTATTTCGGAAAAATTATGCATTGAAGTCAATGGGGAGAGAAAACTTATCTTTCGATCCCGTTTGAATTGTGCCATGAATTACACATATGATGTTTGTCAAACTTAAAAAATCATTTCCATGTCAAAAAAGTCACAGTTTGTCGTAAAACTGTTGAAATATAAGACTATGAAAAATACGTAACTAGAAAGACTACAAATCCCAGAGTCGCGTAAGTGATGTCACAATTGTTTACCTCCACCATTCAGATACCTAAGATCAGCGCAATATAGATATAATCTATCTATATGGCGCTGGCTAAGATAAGATAACTTTAACAAGATGCCTGTGTGCTTAGTACCAGGTTGTTATTATACCAGCAATGGGTCTTGCTCGTTCTTTTGCTTCCCGTCTGATGAAACGACCAGGAGTGGCTTGATCAAGTTAGCTACCTAGCTAGTAGCTAGCACGTTAGTTAGCATTACAGCCTTGTCATTTTTATTAGCCTTAACATGAAGTAACATGAAGTAACCCAAAATGTTAAACAGTAAGAGTAGTAGTCATATTTCGTGAACCCTTTGAATAGTACTGTCACCGGTGTGATCATTCTATAATACACCATTTAATTCCGGGGGAGAAATGCTAACGCTAACGTTAGCATTGGCGATCTTTTCTACTTCATGCTATCTGCACAAATGGTTGACATTAAACATTAAAACGACCAGGCAGTTCAGAGAGAATCAAAGGAAGGCAGGCAGGCAGCTTTGCATGACATTCTTCAGGACGTGTTTCATTGTGGTGATAGTCAATCGTTTGTTGACAAGACAGTAGTGACGGCCATCTTGGTGACGTGTGTGGTTGACCAGGGGATGTAGTTCATTTAGCGTTTCACACAAACAAATGTGTTACTTCACAGTTTTACGGCACATTTTTTTTTTTTTGACTTGCAAAATTATCTTTTAAATTGACAAACATCATATGTGTAATTCGTGGCACAATTCAAACGGGATCGAAAGATAATCTTTCTCTCTCCATTGACTTCAATGCATAACTTTTCCGAAATAAGGTCCCATGGGGCTCCACCGGAAGGGGAGGGACTTCGCCACTCTATTGACAGCTAGTTTCTATGTGAACATTATGAGATGGACAGCCAGAGAGAATAAATGAAAAACAGTTATGAAATACTATATGACAAAACAAGAATACAGTTTAAAAGGGGAGTGATTTGTAAAATATCCATAAAGAAAAATCTGTTTACAGTTCTGTTTGATATGGGTGTTGAGAGATGTATCCATAGATCTCTTAATGTTGCTCTCAAAGTGCACCAGATTGATGCTTTTAACTTCAATATTTAAAAAAAAATCATCCCGGGGGAGCATGCCCCCGGACCCCCCTAGAGGAGGTGAGGACCCCCCTAGAGGAGGTTAGGTCCACAGTGTTTACATGCTTATTTATACAATATGTGTGCTTATACTAACATCATAAGACAAAAGTTGGTTCCGTGTTGTGTGTAGTGAGAACGAGCTAGAGTGAGGGGAAGCCAAAGCTCGCTT